TAGGTAAACTGGGATAATACTAAAGTAAATATTGGGTCAGGTTAATTTTTTCACAAATTGACAGGTATTTACCTTACCGTGGTAGCAAGATCTTATCTATTTTTGCTAACTTTCTATTAAAATGTATTGGAGTGAGATCATTTATTTCATTTGGGATATGTATTCAGAGTATATCCACATCACCATCAGACCATTTTATCGGTAAACTACATGGTAATGTAAATTTTTTATTTTTTGTGATCCAATACGTAATATAGTACATTTATCATAATTTGGTTGAATCCAGAGAGGTTAGAAAATGTATCTAGATCCTCTATGAGGCTGTGGAGGGATTCAAGTTGTGGATTTAAAAGAAAACATGAATCATCAGCGTACAATGACACCTTTGTTTTTTAAGCCCTGGATTTCTAATCCCTTGATATTATTGTTGGATCAGATTCTATTAGCTAATGTTTCAATGGCCATAATAAATAGATATGCCGATAGCGGACAACCTTGTTTCACTCCTCTTGACAGTTTAACATTTTCGGAGTAATAGCCAATATTTACTATTTTACACCTAGGGTTACTGTACATGATTTTAACCCATTTTATAAGAGATTCTCCAAAATTGAAATGCTACAGGCATTTATATATAAACCCCAGTCGTACTTGATCAAATGTCTTTTCAAAGTCTGCTATGAATAGCAGGCCTGGTTTCCCAGATTTTTCATAGTGTTCTATTGTTTCCAGTACTTGCCTTATATTATCTCCAATGTATCGTCCATGTAGAAAACCTGTCTGATTAGAATGAATAATGTCCGACAATACCTTTTTAATTCTATGCGCTATACATTTTGCTAGAATTTTTGCACCACAACACTGAAGTGTAAGGGGCCTCCAATTTTTTTAATGGACTGGATCTTTATATTTTCCATTTGTATCCTGTTTCAGTCATAATGAAATCAGACCACCTTCTTGAGTGTCTGATAATCTACCATTTACATAGGAGTGGTTAAAACATGCTAATAACGGTCCTCTGAGTATATCAAAAAAGGCTTGGTATACCTCGACTGGTATGCCATCCAACCCTGGAGTTTTCCCGGACTTAAAGTCTTTAATTGCATCCAGAAGTTCCTCCTCTGTAATTTCACCTTCACAGTCTTTCTATATGGCTGTTAATTTTACAATAGAAAAAAAAATCTCTACAATTCGCTTAAGTTAGAGGAGATGGAGGCGACTGAAACTAAAACATATGCTTATAGTACTTTGTTTCCTCCTTCAAAATATAATTTGGTGAATCATGGGTGACTCCGTCATTTGTAACCAGTTTCAGTAAATTCTTTTTGGTAGCATTTCTATGTTGAAGATTATAAAATAATTTGGTGCATTTTTCCCCATATTCCATCCAGTTTGCTTTATTTTTTATAATATATTACACTTGATCTTTCTTGAATAAGTTTCTCCATTTCTTTTTGTTTTTCCTCTAATTTATTCTGAGCCTCTATGTTACAGTTTTTATTGCTATCTATCTGTTCTGTTTGACCTATTTCCTTTGTTAGTATGGACTATTTTCACCTAAATTGCTTTTGTTTTCGAGATGAGTACTGAATTGTATGGCCTCTAAAGGCACATTTAAAAGTGTCCCATACAATAAGGGGATTTGCTGTACCTATGTTATGTCGGAAAAAATCAGTTACAAATTCCTCTGTCCTAGTTAAAAACAAGTTATCATCTAATAGGCTTTGATTAAATTTCCAATATCCTCACCCACGTGGAAATTCAGTAAGAGTAATGTATATGCCAATTATATGATGGTCCGACCGCATTCTGTTCCCTATCAACACTTTTTAAAACTTGGACTTGGTCTTTTACCAAATAGGGCTATCTTCTGTATACCCCCCCCTCCCCCCTACATTGTCACAACACAACTGATTGGCTCAAACGCATTAAGAAGGAAAGAAATTCCACAAATTAACTTTTAAGATGGCACACCTGTTAATTGAAATGCATTCCAGGTGACTACCTCATGAAGTTGGTTGAGAGAATGCCAAGCGTGTTCAAAGCTGTCATCAAAGCAAATGGTGGCTATTTGAAGAATGTCAAATATAAAATATGTTTTGATTTGTTTAACAGTTCTTTGGTTACTACATGATTCCATATGTGTTATTTCATAGTTTGGATGTCTTCACTATTATTCTACAATGTAGAAAATAGTCAAAATAAAGAAAAATCCTTGAATGAGTAGGTGTTCTAAAACTTCTGACCGGTAGTGTATGTGCTGTTGGGGGTGCTGGAGGACCGGAGTTGGGAAACAATGCTTTAGAGCAGGGGTACTCAACTCTTACCCTACAAGGTTCGGAGCCTGCTGGTTTTCTGTTCTACCTGATATTTCATTGCACCTGGTGTCTTAGGTCTAAATCAGTCACTAATTAGAGGGGAACAATGAAAAAATGCAGTGGAACTGGCTTGGAGGTCAGAGTTGAGTTAGAGGGCTTTAGAGCAATACGTGATACTTGCATATAAATCTGTAATCATATCAAGTTACGGTACCTTGGAAACAAGTTACCTCGCAAACCTTTTACAGTTGTGGTCCTCTGTAGCTCAGCTGGTAGAGCACGGCGCTTGTAACGCCAAGGTAGTGGGTTCGATCCCCGGGACCACCCATACACAAAAAAAATGTATGCACGCATGACTGTAAGTCGCTTTGGATAAAAGCGTCTGCTAAATGGCTTATTATATTATTATCAAGTTTAGTCCATTCTGTAACATTATAGGCAAACCTTTTACAGTTAATCAAGTTTAGTCCATTCTGTAACGTTATAGGCAAACCTTTTACAGTTAATCAAGTTTAGTCCATTCTGTAACGTTATAGGCAAACCTTTTCCATTGCATTAAGGAAGAATTTAGACTTTGTTTGATCAATAACCTTTTTATTTTCAGCATTGATTTAAAAAACAAAACAGCAGTTAAAAAATAACTCATTTTGTAAACTAAATTGCTGCAGTTAATTAGACATATTTTAATACTACCTAAATAATAGAAAAGGAACAGAAAGCAGAAAATGCAAACCACCGGGATGTGATGTAATACTGGGTTTGTACATGTAATACTGTGCAACTTCCACCTAGTCTTTTAAAGCAAAGGTTCATGAAAAAAAAGAAAAACCACTTTAGTCGAAAATGCCAACAGAGGAGGGGAGCTGAGGTTAAAAGATTGATTTCTCATGGTCTCTTATGGTCCACATTCACCTCAAACAAACACAAGAAACTCAAAGAAGTCAATCAGGATTGCAATTCAATATCTACAAAATCAGCATTTAAAGAACCTAGCTATGTACACTGTACAAAGATTTTAACACAAACGTACATCTTTTACAAAAAAATCTTGCCCAACTGGATCAGGCATATTATTTTCCAATACAACTCCAAGTCCAATACAACTCCAAGTCCAATCTGACACTCATCTGTTTTGTTATCTGTCCAGATGTCCAGGTGTAGAATAAAGCCGATGTTAGCCTTTGTTTATTACATTTTTTAAGCGGACAGAACCAAAATGGAACACTGCAACTGATAAGACCCATGATGCAACACTGCGTAGCTGCTGTGATTGGTATGGGATGCTACATGATTCTATTATTTTGCCAGAATGCATTTGCATTGTGCACGGACCCTACTCCTCATCTACCATTCAGTCTATTGCTATTATGGCTTTTGGAAATTCTGGAGTGACTCTGAAACCTGCTCAGTGCAAAACAAGAAGGAAATAAAATAAAATATTGAGTTGCATGCTGGGAAATGTAATAGCTCATGCACACTCAATGTGAATTGTCAATTTTCAATGTCAATTTGAAAATCAGGGACTTTTGTGAAAATATCATTACTAACACAACAATTCCTCAATGCTTATTATACTAATGTAACTGGCCCAGAATTACATATCATCATAATTCCCTTTGGAGGATTTCAATAATATAGCATGTTTCATGTAATAATCATCAACACATAAAACATTAAAAGATACTAGTGCAAAACAATAGAAATCATATAATCATTAAAGCAAAATTAGCGACTTGGCAGGATAGCAGTTTAGCATGTGGTGGGACAGAAGGATGGCTAAACTCTCATGGCTTCACAGGCCTGATTTCAGGGAAGGAGGTCTGGACTAAAGGTAATAATAAACATATTCCACATCAATCCAAATAGCATTCTTAGAGTGGATATAAAAAAAATATCTTCTTCTTCCATTTTAATTGCACCACTATGGTCATTTTACTATTTCACAAATTCTGTACAGGTTATGTTTGAGCAGTGTGCGGATTTGTACAAAATAAAAAAGTGGTGACGACTTCCTGGTTAGGGGGTAGTCCATTGAGCCTCTGTGGGTGATTAGGTGTAGTGAGAGGTGGGACAGGGGAGCTGGGTGGAGCGTGCAGCTAACAATCACATCTGCTTTGTGCAGACAGAGAAGGCCATATCACAGTACTGACCGTTCAATTACAATATTGTCCCTTTTTTATTTTTTCCAAACATTCTTAATCTTTTCATTATTCATTAGCTCATCCATTTTCTCTGCACTTGTCTCTTAAAATTTTGTATTTTTTTCAACTGAATCTTTCTTATTCACATTCTCACCCTGTTTGCATACTTACTCAACATATCTGGTAGGCTCTCTGTTCCTCACTATGGATGAGTATATTGTTAAGGGTAGTGGCTTGGAATGAGGGAAACTAGTTTAAGGATAAAGCCTGCAATGGGTGAAGTGGTTTAAGGTTAATGATTGCAATGGCAGTGGTTGAAGGGTTAGGGTGGGTACTGTTTTGATGACGTAGCCACTAGCTAGCAGTGGGTCCATTAAACACCAATCATTCCCCTCTGAGCAAGGACCTCCATTTCTCATAACTCCGTCTAGAATCTGCACAGCTCGACACAGCGTCCACGTCCTACTCTAGCAGTCTCTGTTCTGCTCTCCTGCCCATCCCGTCCCCTAGCCACTCTCCTTGTCCCCATGGTGGGGCCCAGTCAGACCTCAGTCTGTTGCTGCATCTCTATGGTGTGTGTCCCCCCCAGGTGGAGCTCATCCATACTGTCAAAGTCACTACCGCCCGCCTCCGAGTCGTCAAAGCCGCAGGGCGCCGACACGTCCGAGGCCGATGACGCGTTCACCGACAGCCTCATATTCAGCGACACGTTATCCTCCATGTCCCCGCCTCCCGGCGTGATCGCTCTACCCACAAAAGTGCGGAACTCCTCCCCTCCCGGCCCGCCTTGCCACGCCTCCCCCAGGGGCAGCTGGTGTGGGGGCAGATATTGGCTGGGGTGGAAGTGTGGACGGGGGGACCTGTGGCGTCCAGTGCTGCCACTGCCACTACCACTTCCACTCAGGGTGCTCTCCTTGGAGGCAGACTGGGTGGCGGGCAGGGTGTCATAGGGGTGCTCCTGGTACTCCTCCAGGGGAGTGGGGAGGGGAGGAGGGAGCTGGTCCTGGGTCAGGAACTCCTCCTCATGGGGAGGGGGGAAGTCACTGTCGATGTCGTAGCCCCCGAGGTAGTAGTCTGACTCCAGTTCCCGGGCGCTGCCCCCCAGGCGAGAGCTGCCCCCCAGTCGGGAGGCTGAGGCAACCATGTCTCCGTGGCCCCCCAGGCCGCTGGCCTCGTAACTGGGCACCTCTTCGATGTCGGGCAGCCGTGAGTTGGGCATCCAGTCAGACGTGTCCCAGTGATATGCTGGAGGAGGGAGAGACAGAGTTAGATAACATTTAGCAAACACAATCACTGCCAACATGCCCGATGGACAGTTACAATCTGCAGGTCCATCAGGAATGTAAGTGGACAAATACAGTCTGTCTGCAGAGGTCCATCGGGCATGTTAGTGGACCACTACAGTCTGTCTGCAGAGGTCCATCGGGCATGTTTGTAGACAACAAAAACACAGTTAGACGTCAACCACAGCACGGGGAACATCCTGTACAGGGAACATGTTAGCTGTGTTTTGAAGGTTTCACAACATGCAGGAGTGAGGCCTGGGAATGTCAGGTCAGGGGTCACAGGTCAAAAGGTCACAGCATGCCAGGGTTCAGGAGGAGTCAGGGTGGCACTTCGGAACAGCCAAGCCATGGTGAGAGATCAGAGGTTACTGACCGATGGGATCATTCAAAGTAAACAAACGCATCACAGCTTGACATACTTCCACATGTTAACAAGAGACTGTTTCACAAAGCATTAAACTGTAAAATACTAAAGAAAAACTAAAGGAAAAACAGACAGTATGTGCATCAAAAGGAAATTACAGAACCAAAGCGAGAAGCACTAAAAAGTTAAATCCATCTTGACAGGTTCAAGAAAATCTTCAGACATTAAATCTCAACAAAGCAACGTCAGCGAGGACAAATTCATTAAAAGCAGTAAAAAAATCAGTCAAATGGAGTAAAAATTAAACAACACGCTTGGAGGTGGGATGCAAATGCAATGCAGTGAGGGGATCAACCATCACATGTCACGGGCAGCAGGCGAAAGCAAAGGAAAGAGAACATTGGCCAAACTGTGGAGGGACGGCAGTGAGGTGCGTTGGAGAGTGAGCGGAGCCTCTACACCCTGGCAACGTGACATCTCCAAGGATGCATCAGGGATGCTCAGTCAGCACAACAACACTGTGAATGGTGCTAACACATGCTGGGGTGTGTGTGTGTTGGCAGGGGGCTAGGAGCAACAAATTACACAAACACAGTGAGCTGGGACGTAGATTGAGAAGGGGGGGGTGCAGTGAGATGGAGAGGGAGAGAGGGAGAGAGTGAAATTAAAAGAGAGGAGGAGTTAGGAGAGAGAGAGAGGAGAGGGAGTGATGTGAGATGAAGAGAGAATCACCTCTGTTGTAGCTCTGACCTTGGTCCATGACTGACACTGTCAGGTGGGAGAACAGGAGAAGAGAGAGCTTTAGCATGTTAGAGTGTGTGTGTGTTTGTGTTTGTGTTTGTGTGTTTGAGGTGCCAAACAGGTGTTGGCGCGGGCAAGGACCATATGAGACTTGAGGGGGGTAATATGTCAATTTATTTATGTATGTGTAATATGTCAATTTATTTATGTACAGTGAGGGAAAAAAGTATTTGATCCCCTGCTGATTTTGTACGTTTGCCCACTGACAAAGATATGATCAGTCTATCATTTAAATGGTAGGTTTATTTGAACAGTGAGAGACAGAATAACAACAAAAAAATCCAGAAAGACGCATGTCAAAAATGTTCTACATTGATTTGCATTTTAATGAGGGAAATAAGTATTTGACCCCCTCTCAATCAGAAAGATTTCTGGCTCCCAGGTGTCTTTTATACAGGTAACGAGCTGAGATTAGGAGCACACTCTTAAAGGGAGTGCTCCTAATCTCAGCTTGTTACCTGTATACAGTGGGGAAAAAAAGTATTTAGTCAGCCACCAATTGTGCAAGTTCTCCCACTTAAAAAGATGAGAGAGGCCTGTAATTTTCATCATAGGTACACGTCAACTATGACAGACAAATTGAGAAAAGAAAATCCAGAAAATCACATTGTAGGATTTTTAATGAATTTATTTGCAAATTATGGTGGAAAATAAGTATTTGGTCACCTACAAACAAGCAAGATTTCTGGCTCTCACAGACCTGTAACTTCTTTTTTAAGAGGCTCCTCTGTCCTCCACTCGTTACCTGTATTAATGGCACCTGTTTGAACTTGTTTTCAGTATAAAAGACACCTGTCCACAACCTCAAACAGTCACACTCCAAACTCCACTATGGCCAAGACCAAAGAGCTGTCAAATGACACCAGAAACAAAATGGTAGACCTGCACCAGGCTGGGAAGACTGACTCTGCAATAGGTAAGCAGCTTGGTTTGAAGAAATCAACTGTGGGAGCAATTATTAGGAAATGGAAGACATTCAAGACCACTGATAATCTCCCTCGATCTGGGGCTCCACACAAGATCTCATCCCGTGGGGTCAAAATGATCACAAGAACGGTGAGCAAAAATCCCAGAACCACACGGGGGGACCTAGTGAATGACCTGCAGAGAGCTGGGACCAAAGTAACAAAGCCTAACATCAGTAACACACTACGCCGCCAGGGACTCAAATCCTGCAGTGCTAGACGTGTCCCCCTGCTTAAGCCAGTACATGTCCAGGCCCGTCTGAAGTTTGCTAGAGTGCATCCAGAAGAGGATTGGGAGAATGTCATATGGTCAGATGAAACCAAAATATAACTTTTTGGTAAAAACTCAACTCGTCGTGTTTGGAGGACAAAGAATGCTGAGTTGCATCCAAAGAACACCATACCTACTGTGAAGCATGGGAGTGAAAACATCATACTTTGGGGCTGTTTTTCTGCAAAGGGACCAGGACGACTGATCCGTGTAAAGGAAAGAATGAATGGGGCCATGTATCGTGAGATTTTGAGTGAAAACCTCCTTCCATCAGCAAGGGCATTGAAGATGAAACGTGGCTGGGTCTTTCAGCATGACAATGATCCCAAACACACCGCCCGGGCAACGAAGGAGTGGCTTCGTAAGAAGCATTTCAAGGTCCTGGAGTCTTCAGATCTCAACCCCATAGAAAATCTTTGGAGGGAGTTGAAAGTCCGTGTTGCCCAGCGACAGCCCCAAAACATCACTGCTCTAGAGGAGATCTGCATGGAGGAATGGGCCAAAATACCAGCAGCAGTGTGTGAAAACATTGTGAAGACTTACAGAAAACGTTTGACCTGTGTCATTGCCAACAAAGGGTATATAACAAAGTATTGAGAAACTTTTGTTATTGACCAAATACTTATTTTCCACCATAATTTGCAAATAAATTCATAACAAATCCTACAATGTGATTTTCTGGATTTTTTTTCCTCATTTTGTCTGTCATAGTTGACGTGTACCTATGATGAAAATTACAGGCCTCTCATCTTTTTAAGTGGGAGAACTTGCACAATTGGTGGCTGACTAAATACTTTTTTCCCCCACTGTATAAGACACCTGTCCACAGAAGCAAACAATCAATCAGATTCCAAACTCTCCACCATGGCCTAGACCAAAGAGCTCTCCAAGGATGTCAGGGACAAGATTGTAGACCTACACAAGGCTGGAATGGGCTACAAGACCATCGCCAAGCAGCTTGGTGAGAAGGTGACAACAGTTGGTGCGATTATTCGCAAATGGAAGAAACACAAAAGAACTGTCAATCTCCCTCAGCCTGGGGCTCCATGCAAGATCACACCTCGTGGAGTTGCAATGATCATGAGAACGGTGAGGAATCAGCCCAGAACTACACAGGAGGATCTTGTCAATGATCTCAAGGCAGCTGGGACCATAGTCACCAAGAAAACAATTGGTAACACACTACGCCGTGAAGGACTGAAATCCTGCAGTGCCCGCAAGGTCCCCCTGCTCAAGAAAGCACAAATACATTCCCGTCTGAAGTTTGCCAATTAACATCTGAATGATTCAGAGGAGAACTGGGTGAAAGTGTTGTGGTCAGATGAGACCAAAATGGAGCTCTTTGGCATCAACTCAACTCGCCGTGTTTGGAGGAGGAGGAATGCTGTCTATGACCCCAAGAACACCATCCCCACCGTCAAACATGGAGGTGGAAACATTATGCTTTGGGGGTGTTTTTCTGCTAAGGGACAAGGAAAACTTCACCGCATCAAAGGGACGATGGACGGGGCCATGTACCGTCAAATCTTGGGTGAGAACCTCCTTCCTTCAGCCCGGGCATTGAAAATGGGTCGTGGATGGGTATTCCAGCATGACAATGACCCAAAACACACGGCCAAGGCAACAAAGGAGTGGCTCAAGAAGAAGCACATTAAGGTCCTGGAGTGGCCTAGCCAGTCTCCAGATCTTAATCCCATAGAAAATCTGTGGAGGGAGCTGAAGGTTCTAGTTGCCAAACGTCAGCCTCGAAACCTTAATGACTTGGAGAAGATCTGCAAAGAGGAGTGGGACAAAATCCCTCCTGAGATGTGTGCAAACCTGGTGGCCAACTACAAGAAACGTCTGACCTCTGTGATTGCCAACAAGGGTTTTGCCACCAAGTACTAAGTCATGTTTTGCAGAGGGGTCAAATACTTATTCCCCTCATTAAAATGCAAATCAATTTATAAAATTTTTGACATGCGTTTTTCTGGATTGTTTTGTTGTTATTCTGTCTCTCACTGTTCAAATAAACCTACCATTAAAATTATAGACTGATCATGTCTTTGTCAGTGGGCAAACGTACAAAATCAGCAGGGGATCAAATAATTTTTTCCCTCACTGTATGTGTAATATTACATTTAAATTTAACATGTCCGTTTATTTATGTATGTGTAATATGTCCGTTTATTTATGTACATGTAATACACTACCAGTCAACATTTTGGACACACCTACTCATTCAAGGGTTTTTCTTTATTTTTACATTTTTTTACATTGTAGAATAATAGTGAAGACATCAAAACTATGAAGTAACACATATTGAATCATGTATTAACCAAAAAAGTGTTAAACAAATCAAAATATATTTTATATTTGAGATTCTTCAAATAGCCACCCTTTGCCTTGATGACAGCTTTGCACACTCTTGGCATTCTCTCAACCAGCTTCATGAGGTAGTCATCTGGAATGAATTTCAATTAACAGGTGTGCCTTCTTAAAAGTTAACTTGTGGAATTTCTTTCCTTCTTAATACGTTTGAGCCAATCAGTTGTGTGAATCAGAGGGAACTGTGTGAATCAGGCCTTCATGGTCGAATTGCTGCAAAGAAACCACTACTAAAGGACACCAATAAGAAGAAGAGACCTGCTTTGGCCAAGAAACACGAGCAATGGACATTAGACCGGTGGAAATGTGTCCTTTGGTCTGGAGTCCAAATTTGAGATTTTTGGTTCCAACCGCTGTGTCTTTGTGAGACGCGGTGTGGGTGAACGGATGATCTCCGCATGTGTAGTTCCCACCGTAAAGCATGCAGGAGGAGGTGTTATGGTGTGGGGGTGCTTTGCTGGTGACACTGTCTGTTATTTATTTAGAATTCAAGGCACACTTAACCAGCATTGCTACCACAGCATTCTGCAGCGATACGACATCCCATCTGGTTTGGGTTTAGTGGGACTATCATTTGTTTTTCAACAGGACAATGACCCAACACACCTCCAGGCTGTGTAAGGGCTATTTTACCAAGACGGACAGTGATGGAGTGCTGCATCAGATGACCTGGCCTCCACAATCCCCCGACCTCAACCCAATTGAGATGGTTTGGGATGAATCAGACCGCAGAGTGAAGGAAAAGCAGCCAACAAGTGCTCAGCATATGTGGGAACTCCAAGACTTTTGGAAAAGCATTCCAGGTGAAGCTGGTTGAGAGAATGCCAAGAGTGTGCAAAGCTGTCATCAAGGCAAAGGGTGGCTATTTGAAGAATCTCAAATATAAAATATATTTTGATTTGTTTAACACTTTTTTGGTTACTACATGATTCCATATGTGTTATTTCATAGTTGTGATGTCTTCACTATTATTCTACAATGTAGAAAATAGTAAAAATAAAGAAAAACCCTTGAATGAGTAGGTGTGTCAACCTTTGACCGGTACTGTATGTCAGTTCATTATGTACGTGTAATATGTCAGTTTATTTATGTACGTGTAATATGTCAGCTCATTATGTACGTGTAATATGTCCGTTTCCTGAAGTACACGATCTTCAAACAACAGCACTGTCATGTTATTGTCATGGATAGCATTGTCATGGCATCTCATAGAGAGAGAGATAAGTACAGGGAGAAGTAAAGAGAACGTCAGAAGGATAGAGAGAGTGAGAAGGGTGGATGAGACATGGTACCTTCGTTTTCAATAGTGTCGACTGCATCATTGACCAGTCGAATGACGGTCACTATGGAGGCTTGTTGGAGAGAAGCAGAGGGAGGAGACACGATTTGAGACACAGAAAGTTGACAACAGGCTCCCAGGAAACAGAGCTACTATTGGCTGAAGATGGGATCAACACTAGGGACGTGTAGCATGGGAGGTGTCTGATCAAAAGCTACATATGGAACCAGACTTAGAAGACCTACACTTTTAGATAAAAAGGTGCTATCTAGAACCTAAAAGGGGTTTTCGGCTTTCCACATAGGATAACCCTTTAGAGAACACCTTTCGGTTGCAGGTAGAACTCTTTTGGGTTCCATGTAGGATCATTTCCACAGAGGGTTCTACATGGAACCCGAAAGGGTTCTTTCTACTTGGAACCAAAAAGGGTTCTACCTGGAACCAAAAAAGGTTATCCTATGGGGACAGCCAAATAACCCTTTTTTCTAAGAGTGTAGGAGGGGACTAACACAGAATCCATGTGCATTTGCTCATCCAAGTATTGGAGAGTATCCCCAGCACACACACACACACACACTTGCACCAACACACACTCCCATTTACACATGTAAACATGAGGTAGGGCTGTGCTCAGCGAGACGAGCTAGATTGTTAAATTATGTTTTGAAGACATTCAGTGAAAATCCGATAAATACAAAAATAACAAGAAAGAAAGAAAAGGGAATGAACATAATAATGACATCAGATCACATCCACTGGAGCGGTCGTCCGCACTGATTGGTCTGCTGCAAACTGTTCTGTGGCCTGTTGGCTAACATCACAGTCAGCTATGTGAAATGTGATCATATTGACAGTGAAGCGGTTCCATTAATTATGAATGAATGAAGCATCAATGTTGATATGTTAACATTGCATTTCAGCTATGTAGTCTAGTACATAGTAGCAACACACTATGTTTATGTAGATTCACCATGGTGATATCAGTGGATTTTTGCAGGATGATCTGAGTGATCCATGTTGATCCAGAAATAACAACTTATAGGCTATCTCTCTAAGTAAAACAAACTACTACTGACATTTTTCCAATAGCAAAACACCACAAAGTCCACAACAACACAGCACAAGTTACATAACAATACAAAAACACAGACAACACAACACATAAACAACCACCTAAAACCTGAACTGGCGTCTGCCAACATTGGAACTGGAGTATCAACGACTACAACCATAAAAAGCCATGGAAAAGAACAACGTGTTTGAATTCGTGATGATGAAACGATGACAAGTTAACAACACAACACAGCTTAGTGTCATTCCTCTTTGGTCAGCTGTCTGTCTGTCTGCACACTGTCACTCTCACTTCCAAATGAAAACACAATCTGACAGGTGTGGAAATTAAAACGTTAACAAAACCCTCCAGGAATTAACGTGAACAAATTATCTTAAACACATGTAAACAATAAATCAACATGATTTGAGGACAAATAAACTAACACACTGGATGACAAATAGTTTTCCTGAAATACTTTTCTAACACAGCAGGAGTAAATGTATCTGTTGGAGAGAGGGCTTTACCAAACAATAAACACTCTATACATTCCGGGGTTCCCATAGTTATTGTTTGTGGTTAATCACAGCATCTCTTTTACTAATGCCCTGTCCCCAAACCGCCCCTGACTCTGCCCCTAGTCCCCTATCTCTTTGGTGTTTGCCGATCTAAAGGGACTGTTATTGAAGCAATATGGTGATAGCACCACCTCAACATCCAATGTGCTTTAGGGAGCTTTGGCCATATTGCTTTCACATCTGGTTCCTCTGAATCTGCCGACAGCAAAGGGCTATGATAGGGGGCTAGGGGAAGAAGACAGGACTATGTTAAGGGTTGTTATCGGACCGGACGGCAGACTAGCTCACTGATGTTATGGGTGTGGCCAGAAAGAGGCACGAGAAAGGAGGGGCGTGTCTTACCGTTGTCATCGCAAGAGTCGGACTGGAAGGAGCTCAGTGATTGGACCTCAGAGTTGCTGCCCTTGTTGCTCCCTGAGAAACAGGTCATCTCTTCACCCATATCTACCATTTTACCTGCAGGGAGAGGTCAGAGGTTAGAGGTCAGGGGGTCAGAGGTTAGGAGGTCAGAGGGCATTGGGAGCAGGCCAGGGAGAGTTGGCCCACGGCAAGGTTAGTCACAGAAGAACACAGGCTCGTTAGTACCAGGGCTGTCTTTGTTGAGGCACAAATCACACACACACCTCGGCTCCAGTGACAACAACACTGGTACGGAGAGCTAGAGGTACCACACACAGACACACACACACACACACTTTTGATTTGGGAATCAAAGCCAGCTCATAATTAGGATGGTCTTGATAAACTGAACTTGATGCTGTCTGAGTATAGTTCTGTGTAATATGAATATGAATTAATATGTAAATTGAACAACAATGCACTCCCCCTCAAGGGTTCCTGGAAAATAGAAACACTTGGAGGGATACACAAACAGACATTTGAATATATGCATGAATGCACACACACAAGACACTCACAAAAACAAACATGTATGAACAAAGATTGTACCACACACAAACAGGTTCAAACGCATCACACTATGCACACACACTGACCCTCATCGCTGTCCCAGGGGCTCTTGCGGATGGAATCACAGTCGGAACGGCAAGGCGAGACAGGTGGCAGGTTGGGCGCCACGCTACACACCACCACCCCCCTCCGCGTCGTGCCTCCCAGAATCCTGGGTGACTCTGGGTGGAAGGTGCTCATCTCATTGTGTTCCACGCCTCTCCCGTCCGCCATCTTCTCCAGCGTGGACCGCGGGTCGCCTTGGAAACAGGGTGTGTACGCCATGGGCCTTACAGGCACCTGGGGCGGGCCGATCATCCCGGCTCCGCCCCCTATCACCGTGGCGCACAGTCCTGCTTCGGCGTACAGGTTCAAGGGGTCTCCCGGCATGCAGCGCAGGGTCTTGAACTGAACCCCATTGGCCTTGTTTAACAGAGCTGCTGTTGCTGGATCTTGGACCAGCGTCAAGTTGTTACGGGAGTAGTTCTTCTGGAACACCTGGAGACAAAACGTTTTTATTGTATTTCTTGTAAAACAATATATAGGATTACAGATGTAGCATCTTCATTTGAGACAGCTTGCTGCAGCAGGAAAATAACCCTACAGTAACTGTAAATGTGAATTATTATGTGGATTATAATTTATGGACATTTTTGTAGGGGTTGATAAAACATTTCGTAAGGGAAAATCAAGTCTGAAATTTCTAAGTGGAAATTAGAAACTTCAGAAGCCTTTTAAACCTCAAATACAATACAAGTTTTACATTTCCGGCATTGCAGGAAAGTTATCCTGCAACAGGGTGATCAAATTAAGATTCTACATCTGTAAAAGCAACGAAGGCTGAATTATTTGAAATTTCATCGTAAAAATAAAAACACACAAGAATAATCAAACAACACAATACAAATACCTTCTTGCGGAAGGCGATGAAGAGGATGATGAGGGTGACGATGACGAAGAGGACGACAGCGATGCCGATCAGTTCTTCTTTTCCCACCATGGCGTGTCCAGCCTGCATGTCTGGTACCACCACGGGCCGCAGGCCGCAGCGCTGGCCCACGAAGCCCGCCGTGCAGTTGCAGTAGAACGAGCCGTGTGTGTTGACGCACACACCACCATTCTCACATTCTGCCTCGCCGCCCGTGGCTCTGCCCCGCTCACACTCGTTTACGTCCTCCTCGCACCTGGAGAGGGTGAATGGAGGGGGGGTTGTTAAAACTTTGTTTGGTAATTAGTTTGGATAGTTTGACTTACAGATGCCCCTAGAGAAAATACACTCCAAAAATGATCCTTGAGGTAGGTGAATATCAATAGATCTGAATCTTTGGCACTTCAGTTGGCACTTAGAAAACTGTTACATACAGATAGTTTGTGGGTCATTTAACAATTGACTGACTAAAACTGATGAAGACTCTCTTTTCATTTGGAGGTGTGAGGAGAGAGCTGTTAGAAAGGGAGAGAGGACAGCTCAGGGACTCCTAGTCTCATATGTTCACTATCAAATAACAACCACGCTGAGATTGACTTTCCTGATCTTTCTCATCTGAAATTAAAATGGCTTTGATAATGGAACACAAGCTGCTGGCATGTGTGTGTTTGTGTGTGTGTGTTTGTGTGTATTTGTGTGTGTTTCAGCGAGTAAGAAAAGTGTATAAGTGTACACATGAGTGAGCTTGTGGCTTTGTATCTTAGCCTTGATTTCTGATGTAACACAGTGGAACACCCCTAAACCCCTGGAGAGAAGGAGACAAGCAGAATTAAAAGTAATCTTCTTTACTCTTTCAAATGTTTCTGTGAATCTTTAACAGGCTGCAGGCAGTTTGGGGGCTCTGGCTCTTCTGCTCATCTGCCTAACACTGTAGAGAAGAACTGGTTTATACTGCCACCTAGTGGGAATGATGAGGCATTGCATGTACAGAGGGCTTTATTCCTTACTATATATTATATCTACTACTTGGGCCAGTAGGAAGCTGAACTGGCTAAAACAAACAGCTAATTTAAAAGGTGGGTGTTTATGTGTCTGTGTGTGAGTGTGGTTGTGTCTGTCATATTCTGTGTGTCTGAGACAGTCAACTCCATGGGTGTGTGTTCAGGACAGGAGTGTGTTGGCATGTATACTGTATGTATACATTTTTTACATTTTACATCATTTAGCAGACGCTCTTATCCAGAGCGACTTACAGAAAAAATACATTTTTTTTAATTTTTTAATATACTGGCCCCCCGTGGGAATCGAACCCACAACCCTGGCGTTGCAAACGCCATGCTCTATCAACTGAGCTACATCCCTGCCGGCCATTCCCTCCCCTACCCTGGACGACGCTGGGCCAATTGTGCGCCGCCCATGAGTCTCCTGGTCGCGGCCGGCTGCGACAGAGCCTGCATTCGAACCAGGATCTCTAGTGGCACAGTTAGCACTGCGATGCAGTGCCTTAGACCACTGCGCCACTCAGGAGGTCATTACAGTGTGGTCATTAGTTTGATAGTAACTCACGTGGTGCCCTTGAACCCTCTCCTGCAGCTGCAGAGGAAAGCGATGCCGATGGCTTTGCACACACCGCTATTGAGGCAGGGGTTGGGAACACACGCTGTGATCTCTGTCTCACAGCGCCCTCCAGTGTACTGGGGACTGCAACTACAGGCAAAACCTGATACACAGAGAGAAGAGGGGAGAGAGAGAGAGAGGAGAGAGAGAGAGAGAGAGAGAGAGAGAGAGAGAGAGAGAGAGAGAGAGAGAGAGAGAGAGAGAGAGAGAGAGAGAATGAAAAATGAGCAGAGAGAGAAAAGAGAGGAAGGAGTATAAAATAAAAAAGGAAAGAAATGAAGTCCATGTCCATTTGAGTCATTTAGCTCTTATCCAGACAGACTTAGAATCAGCGCATTCATATTAAGATATCTAAAACAAGTATTCTGCATACAGGTATGGTGCTATAATTCAACAAAGCAGTCAGACCATCATAGCAGATTCAGAACACACTCACACTCCATCACACACACACACCATCACACACACAGTCACCCTCCATCACACACACAGTCACCCTCCATCACACACACAGTCACCCTCCATCACAACACACAGTCACCCTCCATCACACACACAGTCACCCTCCATCACACACACAGTCACCCTCCATCACACACACAGTCACCCTCCATCACACACACATCACCCTCCATCACACACACAGTCACCCCTCCATCACACACACAGTCACACACCAGTCACCCTGCCATCACACACACATCACACACCTCCCTCCATCACACACACAGTCACCCTCCATCACAACACACAGTCACCCTCCATCACACACACAGTCACCCTCCATCACACACACAGTCACCCTCCATCACACACACAGTCACCCTCCATCACACACACAGTCACCCTCCATCACACACACAGTCACCCTCCATCACACACACAGTCACCCTCCATCACACACACAGGAATGTGTTCAGTGCTGTAGAGACTAGCGTGTGCATTGTTTGAGCTTTGGCGGCGGTGCCAGGGAAATGGGGTTGACGAGAGCTTGCCAGCCTAAACATAAACACACACACCTCTGGGAAATCACACGGGTACACACACACACACACAAAGGCTCACGCAACTGGGAAATCACACTGACACACACACACATACACACACATCACATAACGGGAAAATCGAAAACACACACACCTCTAGGAAAACGCATGGATATGTCACTGTGTTTATCGACACAGCGCAGACACACACGCACGCACATACAGTGGGATACTGGAATAAATACATACACACACTCCGATAACCTTTACACAGAGGTCGGGCGTGCCAAGAATTTACAACAGGGGACCATGACAAGTCCCAGAATGCCGTGCTCTTTTCAGAGCGCTCAGCAATGCGAGCTGGGAGACCGGGAGAGACCAACCCAGGGGAGCGTTAAGTCACTCTCTCTGTGTTGAGTCTTGGCCTCGATGTGCTAAGTCAGCACGTTAAGTCAAGGGGTCACCCTGCTGAGTCCAGGCAGGAAATTTCGATAGAGATGACATTTAACCAGGCTTCCCTATTGACTCCAGTAAAATGCCAACGGCTGAGGAAAAAAAATGTTTTATTGAGCCCTGACAGTAGTCTGATTTTAAAACAATACGATTAGTTCATGTAGGACTTTTGAGTTCAGACAAAAGGAGGAGAGATATGAACAGACAAAAAAACTAAGAGCAACTGGAGAGATACAGTGAGGGAAAAAAGTATTTGATTTTGTACGTTTGCCCACTGACAAAGACATGATCAGTCTATAATTTTAATGGTAGGTTTATTTGAACAGTGAGAGACAGAATAACAACAAAAATATCCAGAAAAACGTATGTCAAAAATGTTATAAATTTATTTGCATTTTAATGAGGGAAATAAATATTTGACCCCTCTGCAAAACATGACTTAGTACTTGGTGGCAAAACCCTTGTTGGCAATCACAGAGGTCAGACGTTTCTTGTAGTTAGCCACCAGGTTTGCACACATCTCAGGAGGGATTTTGTCCTACTCCTCTTTGCAGATGTTCTCCAAGTCATTAGGTTTTGAGGCTGACGTATGGCAACTCGAACCTTCAGCTCCCTCCATAGATTTTCTATGGGATTAAGGTCTGGAGACTGGCTAGGCCACTCCAGGACCTTAATGTGCTTCTTCTTGAGCCACTCCTTTGTTGCCTTGGCTGTGTGTTTTGGGAAATTGTCATGCTGGAATACCCATCCACGACCCATTTTCAATGCCCTGGCTGAGGGAAGGAGGTTCTCACCCAAGATTTGACGGTACATGGCCCCGTCCATCGTCCCTTTGATGCGGTGAAGTTGTCCTGTCCCCTTAGCAGAAAAACACCCCCAAAGCATAATGTTTCCACCTCCATGTTTGACGGTGGGGATGGTGTTCTTGGGGTCATAGGCAGCATTCCTCCTCCTCCAAACACGGCGAGTTGAGTTGATGCCAAAGAGCTCCATTTTGGTCTCATCTGACCACAACACTTTCACCCAGTTCTCCTCTGAATCATTCAGATGTTCATTGGCAAACTTCAGACGGGCCTGTATATGTGCTTTCTTGAGCAGGGGGACCTTGTGGGCGCTGCAGGATTTCAGTCCTTCACGGCGTAGTGTGTTACCAATTGTTTTCTTGGTTACTATGGTATTGGCCATGTTGGAGAGTTTGGAATCTGATTGATTGATTGCTTCTGTGGACAGGTGTCTTTTATACAGGTAACAAACTGAGATTAGGAGCACTCCCTTTAAGAGTGTGCTCCTAATCTCAGCTCGTTACCTGTATAAAAGACACCCTGGAGCCAGAAATCTTTCTGATTGAGAGGGGGGTCAAATACTTATTTCCCTCATTAAAATGCAAATCAATTTATAACATTTTTGACATGCGTTTTTCTGGATTTTTTTGTTGTTATTCTGTCTCTCACTGTTCAAATAAACCTACCATTAAAATTATAGACTGATAATTTCTTTGTCAGTGGGCAAACGTACAAAATCAGCAGGGGATCAAATACTTTTTTCCCTCACTGTATGACGACACAAAGACAGGAAGACAAGAACAGAACAAAGGCGATCACGACCAGGCAGACAAAAGAGAGAGAGAGAAAGAAAGAGAAAGAAAACAGAAGTGATGAAGGAGTGTAGGAGGCTATTTCACAATCAGACCTTTGGAAAAAACAGTGGGTCAAGGCCAGTTTAATTAGGAATTCATTATGGATTAATAATAGATTAACGTTGAGGGGAGATCCAGATCCCTGGAGAGGTTATAGTCTGCCAGCTGGCACAGGAGCACAGGCTGGCACAGATCATCATCCATCACCCTGATGACCTCCAAATAAAGCTAATAAATCAAACAATCAATCAGGAAATCCTCCTATCAGTGTGTGTTATGGACACTAATAATCTCTGTCCTCGAGAGCTACAGGGTGGTGCAGGCTTTTGTTCCAACCCAGGCTGTTTGTTTCACAAATGCACCAGAGGAGGCTGGTGGGATGATCAATAGGAGGACAGGCTCATTTTAATGGCTGGATTGGAATAAATGAAACGGTATCAAACAGATCAAACATATGGAAACCACGTTTGACTCCGTTCCATTAATTCCATTCCAGCCATTACAATGAGCCCGTCCTCCTATAGTTCCTCCCACCAGCCTCCTCTTGGGCGAGCGTGCACACACACCAGGGTGATGGATGTGACCGCATCCATTTCCCTCCTGCAGTTCCCCAGACTCACCACCGGAGGGCAGGCTCGTGCAGGTGGCTCCGTGGAGGCAGGGCTGTTTGAGACAGGCGTCAGGGTAGAGAACACAGCCCAGTTTCAGCTCTGTCAGGCCCACCACCTCAGCATAGTGACTCCTCTTGTTCTGCAGGGGCAACTCGTTGTTGTTGAGCATCACAGAGTCCAGGCAGCCCTGGAAACCATCCGTCACCTGTGGACCCTTCTTGTCTGTCAGGCTATGAGAGTTAGGAGGCTGGACCTGGGGGGAGGAGAGAGACATGAGTGACACATCAGATTTATGTATACATACAAACAAACTACCAAATATTGTACTGTATATGAATAGGTATAGCACACAAAACTATAATATCAAACCACAATATTTAGCTTTTTCATGTTGTTTTCTGAGTATGGAGCAAGTCATGTTCAGACAACGATATAAAATACAAAGATTCTGATCCCCAAATACACTAAATACAGTACATTCATGAATACACACACAGGCTGTATTCCTCAGAGCTTCCCATCCAGAGCTTCCTATCTAGTGCTTCCCATCCAGAGCTTCCCGTCCAGAGCTTCCTATCCAGAGCTTCCTTCCAAAGCTTCCTTTGCAGAGCTTCCTATACAGAGCTTCCCATCCAGAGCTTCCTATCCAGAGCTTCCTATCCAGTGCTTCCTATCCAGAGCTTCCTATCCAGCGTCTTACCTTGTGTTGTGTTCCTCACTCTGACAAGATTAAATCGGTAAGAACATTATAGAGAAACACTATACTCACACATACAAATCCATAACGCTCACACATGCAAAACACACACACAGCCACGCCCATACAAACCTATCAGTGTCCCTAACACACACTCACAACAACCCCCACACTCTGAAAAAATCTGTCACACACACACACGTTTGTTTTACTATCCTTGTGGGGACCAAACAATTGATTCGCATTCAAAATCCTATTTTCCCTAACCCCTAACCTAACTCCTAACCCTAATTGTAACCCTAAACCTAACCCCTAAGCCTAAAATAAAAAATTTCCTTGTGGGGACTGGCGAAATGTCCCCAATTTTCCTTGTTTTACTATCGTTGTGATAACTTCTGGTCCCCACAAGGATAGTAAAACCAAAAACACACCCACCCCTTCCCCTCCACAGAAAGCCCACCTGTGCTCCAAAGTAGATACACCCATCTGCCCCTAGTGGTTGGAAGCTTGGCGGTCCTCTCCTCCTCTCCACATAGCTGTCGTCCAGAGACAGACTAGTGAAGTTACGGTTGAGCTCCAGGGTCACCGTGTGCCAGTTCCCATCGTTGATGGGCCTCCCAGAGATACCCAGCATACCAGGGCTATTCCCACAGTCCAGCTGGAACCACAGCTTACCCTCCTCTAGCTGTCAATCACAACAAGATAGGCAGGGTTTAGACACAGATGGGAGGGGCTAAAGTGGCTTAGCATCAGGTAATAACAAGGGTGGATCGTGCTGTGGGTATCTAGACTATCCATGCCTGTTTACAGTGTGTGTACTTTGAATATAACACAATAGTCTGAGCACATGTCTGTCTGTTATGTTCAGTATAGTACAGGGATTAGCATGTATAGGTGAGTACCTTAAACAGGGTCAGGAAGCGTACGTGTGTGTATGTGTGTGTGTGTGTGTGTGTGTATGTGTGTGTGTGTGTGTGTGTGTGTACCTTGAGTATAGTGCAGGGGTCAGCGTGTGTGTACATGATGATTCCTCTGCTCTGTAGAGTTCTGATTCTCAGTCCCAGCTTCATCTCTCCTGTCCTCCCTCCATCAGACACTTTATACTTGATATAGCTGTTCCCTGAGAAACTCAGAGACGTGTGACCTGTATACACACACACACACACACAAAGATATGCAGAGTCAGAGCACGCACATACACGCACACACATGCACGATTGAACACAATTTGATTGTTGTATTTGCATCCACAAATTACACCACATTTACAAAGGACCCAAACATTCAAAAGACACCTGGACACATAAAACACACATCAACGCACCTGCACACTCTCCTAGTTTCCCTGGTGGACACTGGCAGGCGTAGGGTCCTCTGGTGCCCTCTGTGCCCACACACTGCATGTCTCCTGGACAGGGCTGCTCATCACACAACTCTGAGGCTGGTGGACAGCTACCATCTGATGGAGGGAGAGAGAGGAGGGAGAGAGAGAGAGAGAGAGGAGGGGGAGGGAATGCGAGAGAGAGAGAGAGAGAGAGAGAGAGAGAGAGGAGGGGAGAGAGAGAAAGAGAGAGGCGAGAGAAGAGGAGACGAGAGTAGGGGACAGAGAGGAGGGGGCGAGAGAGAGAGAGAGAGACGAGGAAGAGAGAAAGAGAGATGTGAAGGGTGAAACAAAGGAGATAAAGGAAGAGTGGGTGAATGGGGAGGTAGAGAGAGACAGGAGGGGAGAGAAAGGGATGGAGAGAGAGAGAGGGGGAGGGGGAGTGGTTAAGGGTGAAATAGAACACAAAATGAAAGGAAAAGAGAAGAGAAGAGAAGGACAGGGTGTGAAACAGAGTGAGACAGAAGACAGAGGACCATGGATAGAAGGAGGAAAGGGACCGAGAAGCGTGAAACGAGAGAAAAGAAAGGATGAATGAAGAGAGCAAGAGAGGACAAGTTCATTTAGGGTTATTCAGAGTAGAGGCAGCCAAATCCTCTGCCAAGTGTCCCCAGGAGACGTGCTAATTACATTAGCCACAACATGCTAATTCAATCTACTGGGGGGTCTGTCTAATCCCAGGGGTCAGATACACACTCAAGATGCCATCAGCTTTATCATTATAGTACTTATACAATCAGACAGAGTGGTTGCTACAGTGCAGATCATGCAGACGTCAACAATGCCTATGCCTAATGCACAGCTCTCTAAAGGACACTTTGTGACATGTGTGTATGTTTTTGTATGAGTATGTGAGTGCATCATCATGCATATACATTGATATGATACATGGGTGTATATCTGTGGGTGTGTGTGTATGATGGTGTCCTCACCAGTGCAGGTGCAGCGTGTGGTCCTGTGGAAGCGTGGTGACACAAAGCTAACCCTGGGTGTGCTGTAGGTGATGAGAGCATGAGAGTCCAACACAATGCTCTGCTCACACTGGGCCCCGCGACACTCAAGCCCAGAACAGTTCTTATCCAAGATGGCCGACACCCTCAGCACTTCCTCCAACTGCCTCCGGGAGGCGCTCAGCTTCTGGGTCAGGTACGCTGCCTTGTAGAACCCTCCCCCAGCCGTCTCCACAGCAACCAGCAGATCCAGCTGGCTGGTCCCGCCCACAGGCTGCAGACTGAGAACGTGCAGCGCATCCTGCTTCTGCGTTGCCGCGGCAACCTTCAGAACTTTCACCACGTTTTTCAGATGTGTGGCCACGAAGTCGTGGGGTTGCACACTCTCGAAACGCACTGTCACCGCCTCGCGCAGCATCTCTGGCGACGCCTGCTCCACGTGCACGCTCACAGCCATGGGCACGGCGAAGCGTCCGTCGCTCACGCTGGCGTTGAGGGAATAGCGACCGGTGTCCAGGCCGCCCAGCGCTATGATCTTACCGTCTCTCGGACTGATCTTGAAGAGGGAGCGTTGAGACGGAAGGGTGTGGCCGAAGGTCAGGGCATCGTAGGGGTCTGCGTCGGTGGCGTGCAGCTGGCCGATGACTCCTCCAGGAAACTCGTCCTCCATGGTGATGATGTGGATCTCCAGGGGTAGTGCTACGGGCCGGTGAAGGCTCTCCTCAATCACACGCACCGTCAGGGTAGAGGAGGAGGACAGACGGGGCTTACCGGAGTCCCTTACCTAGAGGTATGGGGAGTAGGGGAGTAGGGGAGTAGGGAGAAGCAAAGGGTTAATTAACACAGAGCCAAAAAACATAAATCACAATGTAGCCCCATGTGTGATTTAGTAACACAGCCCTTCCACAAGCTAGCTGGTTGTAAGACCTGGTGCTAACACTAACAGAGTTGACCAGCTGGTTGTAAGACCTGGTGTTAACACTAACAGAGTTGACCAGCTGGTTGTAAAACCTGGTGTTAACACTAACAGAGTTGACCAGCTGGTTGTAAGACCTGGTGTTAACACTAACAGAGTTGACCAGCTGGTTGTAAGACCTGGTGTTAACACTAACAGAGTTGACCAGCTGGTTGTAAGACCTGGTGCTAACACTAACAGAGTTGACCAGCTGGTTGTAAGACCTGGTGCTAACACTAACAGAGTTGACCAGCTGGTTGTAAGACCTGGTGCTAACACTAACAGAGTTGACCAGCTGGTTGTAAGACCTGGTGCTAACACTAACAGAGTTGACCAGCTGGTTGTAAGACCTGGTGCTAACAGTAACCGTGTTGACTGAGATTATCTAAAAATCTTACCTGGACCTGGATGACATACTCCATGGCCAAGTCCCTCCTAAACACCTGATTGGCTAACAGAGTTCCATCCCACTCCAGTGTAAACTCTCCACCCTCGTTCCCTGATAAGATGCGGAACTCAAAGGGTGGGCCGTTATGGGAGGAGTCCTGGTCTATGACGGACAGCTGCAGAATGCTGGTGCCGATGGGCTTATTCTCCTGTGATTGGACAGTACAAGAAGGGAAATGAGATTAGATGCAAGACGGAGTGTGTGTGTGTGCGCTTCTCCTGTAAGAAAGGATATGTGTGTGAATATCTATGTCTATGTAGATGTAAGTGTGTATGGAGTTCATCAGAGCTGTCAATCATGTGAGTAACAGTACCTGTATGACAGTGGTGAGATTGGCCGGGGTGAAAGTAGGCGGGCTGTCATTGATGTCTGAGATGTCAATGTTGACCATCACCGTTGACGACATGGGCGGAACACCACTGTCCAGAGCCCTGACGGCCAGAGAGTAACCAGACACCTAGAGAGATGAAAAAAGCTTAAAACTTCACGTCGAGAAACTTTTTTATCATTTCATGCCTGATAATAATAACAGGATCGAGAAAATCAAACACAGCAATTTCCATGCAAATCAAATTCACCACACATTAACCAATGATGACAAGTCCCTAATCAAATATCCTCCTGGATACGCATCCTTATAATGTGGTACTCCCTTGAATATCAGCACACCAAACGAGGACCTAAGGGCGCTGATTAAGTGTGTTGTGATTGGTTGTGGGCACATCCTTTGATCTCTGAAACACACTCCTGTCACTGACACTTTCCTGGCGTGTCCTACCAAGCACGTACCCTGGGTTTCTGTCTCTGTCTCTCAGATTCACTTTACACTCTAAGAAAAAAGGGTTCCAAAATAGTTCTTCGGAGCACCCTTTTTGGTTCCAGGTGGAACCCTTTTTGGTTCCAGGTAGAACCCTTTTGGGTTCCATGTAGAAAGGGTTCTACATGGAACCCAAAAAGGTTCTACCTGGCACCTAAAGGGTTCTACCTGGAACCAATTTTTTTTTTTAAAAGGGTTCTCCTAGGGGTACAGCCGAAGAACCCTTTTAGTTTCTAGATATAACCTTTTTTTCTAAGAGTGTACCTGAGGGAACACTGTCAAAGCTATCTCAGGTAGCAGGATTTACTAGCTTTGGGAGTGAAGATACACACACACACCCACACACGCAGGCACACACACACGCACGCGCGCATACACACACACACACACACACACACACACACACACACACACACACACACACACACACACACACACACACACACACACACCCCTTATTCCCTACCACTCTAGCTGCAGGGTGTTTCTGTGTCCTTCCACATATTGCTCTGTAATAACAGCCTAACTAAACACAGCAGAAACATGCAATAACTGAAAACAAAAATAACAACCTCTCACTCTGAGAAATGAAAAAAGAAACCACAATAAACAACCACAGTGCTGCTTAGGAGAGAGTAAATGAGAATAACCTGTACGGAAATTAGTGTGTGAAGACACCCACACACAAACAAACAGGGATGCTCTCTTTCTGATAACCCAAACACACAGGGCTGCTCTCTTTCTGATAACCCAAACACACAGGGCTGCTCTCCTTCTGATAACCCAAACACACAGGGCTGCTCTCTTTCTGATAACCCAAACACACAGGGCTGCTCTCTTTCTGATAACCCAAACACACAGGGATGCTCTCTTTCTGATAACCCAAACACAGGGCTGCGCTCTTTCTGATAACCCAAACACACAGGGCTGCTCTCTTTCTGATAACCCAAACACACAGGGCTGCTCTCTTTCTGATAACCCAAACACACAGGGCTGCTCTCTTTCTGATAACCCAAAGACAGGGCTGCGCTCTTTCTGATAACCCAAACACACAGGGCTGCTCTCTTTCTGATAACCCAAACACACAGGGCTGCTCTCTTTCTGATAACCCAAACACACAGGGCTGCTCTCTTTCTGATAACCCAAACACACAGGGCTGCTCTCTTTCTGATAACCCAAACACACAGGGCTGCTCTCTTTCTGATAACCCAAACACACAGGGCTGCTCTCTTTCTGATAACCCAAAGACAGGGCTGCGCTCTTTCTGATAACCCAAACACACAGGGCTGCTCTCTTTCTGATAACCCAAACACACAGGGCTGCTCTCTTTCTGATAACCCAAACACACAGGGCTGCTCTCTTTCTGATAACCCAAACACAGGGCTGCGCTCTTTCTGATAACCCAAACACACAGGCTGCTCTCTTTCTGATAACCCAAACACACAGGGCTGCTCTCTTTCTGATAACCCAAACACACTTTCATCAGCTCTTTCATCCCCCACAAGCCCGGGCGTTCTCTTTGGACCGCGCTCAGATCCGCTCTCCGCACTATCACGGACCACACTCATGAATTTTTTATGACGGGAATTGAAAGCAGCCTGGGAAGAGGAGGGATGGGATGCCTCCACTCTAACCAGAGGAACTGAACATCCTCCATGAGAGAAACGGTCAGGAGGAGATGGCTAGCTGTAGGGGGATAATGATGGGGGTGTTTGTTTGTGATGGTGATGTCACGGTGTGGTTGTGAGAGACAGTCGTTGTTATTAGTGTTCATTTTGTATTGGCAGTAGTGTTGGTTTGTATGTGTGTGTTTGCGTGTGTGTGTACTTGTGTGTCTGTGTGTGTGTGTGTGTATGTACACCTGTGTGTATGTGTGTGTGTGTGTATGTGTGTACACCTGTGTGTATGTGTGTACCTGTGTGTGTGTGTGTGTGTGTGTGTGTGTGTGCTCACCGTCTCTCTGTCCAGCTGTTTGTTGACTGTCACCATGCCAGAGAGAGGGTCTATGAAGAACTGGTTCTCTCTGTCGCCACTGCTGATTGAGTAGAGGATATCACCGTTTACCTGACTGTCTACGTCCTCAGCTGTCAGCTAGAGGAGGAGAGGTGGGTTAGGCAGGGACTCTCCAACACACACACACACGCACACGCACACACACACACACACACACACACACACACACACACACACACACACACACACACACACACACACACACACACACACACAGTCTTGCGCAGCTAACCTTGTGGGGACATAAAATTCAGTCCCATTCAAAATCCTATTTTCCCTAACCCTAAACCTAAACCTAACCCTAACCCTAACCCAAACACCCCAAAAAAGTATTGGTTTACTATTCTTATGGGGACTTTTGGTCCCCACAAGTATAGTTAAACACGTCCCACACACACACACACACACACACACACACACACACACACACACACACACACACACACACACACACACACACACACAGTAAGATGGTCAGTGTTTCCTAATTGTTTCCTCGAGTACCCCCATCCAGTTCAACTTATTGGATGTATCCCAGAACCAGCACACTTAATTTAATTAATGAAGGGCTTGATGATTAGTTCAGATTGAATCAGGTGTGTTTGTACCAGAAAAGTTCAAATGAGTGCAACCCGATTGGGGGTACTCCTGGAGAGGTCAGGGAAACATGGCTGAACCAGTCCAGGTTAAAGAGATTGGGGGTACTCCTGGAGAGGTCAGGGAAACATGGCTGAACCAGTCCAGGTTAAAGAGATTGGGGGTACTCCTGGAGAGGTCAGGGAAACATGGCTGAACCAGTCCAGGTTAAAGAGATTGGGGGTACTCCTGGAGAGGTCAGGGAAACATGGCTGAACCAGTCCAGGTTAAAGAGATTGGGGGTACTCCTGGAGAGGTCAGGGAAACATGGCTGAACCAGTCCAGGTTAAAGAGATTGGGGGTACTCCTGGAGAGGTCAGGGAAACATGGCTGAACCAGTCCAGGTTAAAGAGATTGGGGGTACTCCTGGAGAGGTCAGGGAAACATGGCTGAACAAGTCCAGGTTAAAGAGATTGGGGGTACTCCTGGAGAGGTCAGGGAAACATGGCTGAACCAGTCCAGTTTAAAGAGCCAACAGGACATACCTTGACGACGGACTCTCCGATGGTTGCGTCCTCGGATACGACAGCGGTGTAAACATCTCGGCTGAACATGGGTGCATTGTCATTGACGTCCGTCAGGTTGATGTTTACCATGGTTATGGCGCTTAGGGGCGGGGTTCCACCGTCTCTGGCCTCCACAGTGAGGAAGTAGTCTTTACACGTCTCAAAGTCCAGAGCCTTGGACACAGAGATGGCACCTGGTACACAGAGAGAGTGAGAGGTCAATAGGGTGGTATATATCCTACTTCTAACACCATGTAGAAGTCTGTAACATGAATTTGCTAATAAAGACATATACATTGACACTTTATATTCTGCATATGGAAACTCACCAGTGAGGGGGTGTATGTGGAACTTTCCGTGCTCGTTGCCTGAGCGGATACTATAGGTGATCTCAGCGTTGGTTCCAATGTCCTTACTGGCTGCGTACACTCTCAGCACCTCCATCCCTAACCCCACGTCCTCTGGCACAGTGGCGAGGTGGTCACGCCGCTCAAACACCGGCGGGTTGTCATTGATGTCCAGGACCGTGACGGTCACGTTGACCAGGGAGGACAGGCGGACCGGAGAGCCCTGGTCGGACGCTCTGACCGTGATCATGTAGGATGGTTGCTGTTCGCGGTCGAGGGTACGTTCCAGGACCACGATGCCGGAGGATTTGTCGATGGAGAAGAAGCCGCCGGCAGAGTTGGCTAGAGAATAGACCACCTTACGACTGACGCCTGGAGAGAGGGGAGAGGAGAGAGGGATGTTAGAACAACTCTCTCTCTCTCCTCCCCTGATGCCCTTCTGCCTCTCTGTCTCTATCTCTCTCTCCCTCTCTCCCCTCTCTCTCCTCCCCTGATGCCCTTCTGCCTCTCTGTCTCTATCTCTCATCCCATCTCCCCCTAGCCTCTGCTCTCGTCCTATCTCTCTCCTCTCTCTCCCCTGATGCCCTTCTGCCTCTCTGTCTCTATCTCTCTCTCCCTCTCTCTCCTCCCCTGATGCCCTTCTGCCTCTCTGTCTCTCTCTCTCTCTCCCTCTCTCTCTCCTCCCCTGATGCCCTTCTGCCTCTCTGTCTCTATCTCTCTCTCCTCCCCTGATGCCTTCTCCTCTCTATCTCTTCATCTCTCTCTCTCTCCTCCCCTGATGCCTTTGCCTCTCTTCTCTACTCTTCCTCCTCTCCTCCTCCCCTGATGCCTTCTGCTCTTATCCCTCTCGCTCTCCTTCCCCTGATGCCTTCTGCCTCTCGTTCATCTCTCTCTCCCTCTCTCTCCTCCCCTGATGCCCTTCTGCCTCTCTTCTCTACTCTCTCTCTCTCTTATCCTCCTCTCTCTCTCCTCCTTCTCTCTATCTCTCCTCTCCTCTCTCTCTTCTTCCTCCTTCTACTCCTCTTGCCTACTCTTGTCCTATCTCTCTCTCCTCTCTCTCCCTTCTCTCTCTTCTCTCCTCTCTCTCTATCTCTCCCCCTCCTCTCCCCTTCTCTCCTCCTCTCTCCCTCGATCCTCGCTCTTCATCTCTCTCTCCTGTCCTTCTTCCCTCTCTATCTCTCACTCCTCTCCCTCTCTCCTCTCTGTCTCTATCTTCTCCCCTTCCCTCCTCTCTCTCCTCCCCTGATGCCCTTCTGCCTCTCTTCTATCTCCTCCTCTCCTCTCTCCCCCCTGGCTCATCTCTCCTCTCCTCTGCCCTTCCTTGCTCCTCTCTCTCCTCCTCTCCCTTCTCACTCCTTCCTCCTGCATGGCCCTTCTGCCTCTCTATCTCTATCTCTCTCCCTCTCTCTCCTCCCCTGATGCCCTTCTGCCTCTCTATCTCTCTCTCCCTCCCTCTCTCTCCTCCCCTGATGCCCTTCTGCCTCTCTGTCTCTATCTCTCTCTCCCTCTCTTTCTTTCTCTCCCTCTCTCTCCTCCCCTGATACCCTTCTCTCTTTCATCCTGCTAACAGCCACAGTGCTTCCTCGACGCTGCGTGGCTTGTTGGTAAACCTTTAATGCGCTAATACCTTTATCTCTAATACTTCAATACTTTTATGGATGTGACTTTTCATTCGTGTGGTTGTGGCAGAGGTTTATTTTCTTTCCCTTCCTTCTTTGCCAGGCGAGACGTTGACAGCAGCCAAATCCAGTCAGAGAATTACATTTACATCTTAGTCATTTAGCAGACGCTCTTATCCAGAGTGACTTACAGTTAGTGAATACATTTATTTATATATTTTTGTATTTTTTTATTTTTTATTTTTTTATACTGGCCCCCCGTGGGAAACGAACCCACAACCCTGGCGTTGCAAACGCCATGCTCTATCAACTGAGCTACATCCCTGCCGGCCATTCCCTCCCCTACCCTGGACGACGCTGGGCCAATTGTGCGCCGCCCATGAGTCTCCCGGTCGCGGCCGGCTGTGACAGAGCCTGGATTCGAACCAGGATCTCTAGTGGCACAGTTAGCACTGCGATGCAGTGTGAGTGTTAGCAGTGTGTGTGTGTGATTGCTAGCACTACGTGCTAGCAGCTGGTCCAAACCCAAGGCAAATTAAATAGGATTGCTAACAGCTAACAGTGAGGTAAGTGCTGAGCAAAGCAGAGTAAACATTATTATAAACTCTACCCATCTTTCGGTTAATATTCTGCTGGATGGGCAACGTTGGTCCGGAAAAGCTGCAGTGTGTGCAGGCGAGAGAGAGAGGGAGAGAGAGAGAGAGACAGGGACAGAGAGAGAGACATAAAGACAGAGTGAGAGAAAGGGACAGAGTGAGAGAGAAAGTGTGACAGAGAGAGAGAGAGAGAGAGAGAGAGAGAGAGAGAGAGAGAGAGAGAAAGAGAGAAGAGAGAGAGAGAGAGAGAGAGAGAGAGAGACAGAGTAAGGGAGAAACAGAGAACAGAGAGAGGAGAATATTCCATTCTTACCTTCATCAGGGTCGATGGCCTGTATGCGTGTGAGCAGGGCCTTGGTAGCTGTGTCTTCATACACACTGGCAGTGTAGTGGGGAGCAGAGAACGCTGGAGGGTTGTCATTCACATCCAACAGCGTTAGGTGGACCTCTGCACGACAGAACCGACCACCTCCGTCTGTCGCCTGGGCAACCAGTCTGTACACAGGGGTCTTCTCCCGGTCCAGGGCCTGGGCTGTCTTTAGTTCGCCTGAACAGAAAAAGAGGAGAGACAGGTTAAGATCACACACACATCAACTTCATTGGCAAATGTTAAATAAAGTAAAGGTAGTGTACCAGTGTCTGGGTCGATGCTGAAGTCTTCAGAGCCGGGTCCATATAGAGAGTACTGGATCCAAGCACTGACCCCTACATCAGCATCGCTGGCCCCAACCCCCACTATCACTCTGTTGACTGGGATATCCTCTGGGACCGAGGCTGTGTACAGAGCCTGCACACACAGCAAGATAGCATCAAACAACACAACACTCATAATTCATAACATTTACACACACAACAAGAATATACTAACAACCATAACGCTCGTAAAGCATTTACCCAGAGACAACAAAAATATAAGCTACTGACATCAAACCCCCACAACGTTCATAATACATAGCATTTACACACACAAGAAAATACTAACATCAAAAAGTTATCCCTCCTCCATACAGCTCCTCCAAACACAACAACACGAACATACTAACATCAAAAAGTCATCCATCCGAACATACAGCTCCTCCATACACAACAACAAGAAAATACTAACATCAAAAAGTCATCCCTCCTCCATACAGCTCCTCCATACACAACAACAAGAACATACTAACATCAAAAAGTTATCCCTCCTCCATACAGCTCCTCCATACACAACAACAAGAAAATACTAACATCAAAAAGTCATCCCTCCGAACATATAGCTCCTCCATACACAACACAAGAAATACTAACCAAAAAGTCCCCCTCCGAACATAAGCTCCTCCATACCCCAACAAGAGAATACTAACTACAAACGTAGTCCATTCAAACAGCTCACCGCCAAACACTCTATTGAGTACAACAATCTCCCTAGACACATATAGAACTCAACACAATAACAAAAAGTACAAACACAAAAAATCGTCGTCAAACAGCTAGAATCCCAGTCCTTTACATATACAGCAACCCCTAAACAGACACAACCACAGCTACGTATCACTAGACCTCACACGCAACACAACAGACAACAACCACAGCTACGTATACTAGACCTCACACGCGAAACACACAGACACAACCACAGTCTACGTATCACTAGACCTCACACAGCAACACACAGACCAACCACAGCTACGTATCACTCAGACCTCACACAGCAACACACACACAACGTATCACTAGACCTCACACAGAAACCCACAAACACAACCACAGCTACGTATCCCCTAGACCTCACACAGCAACACACAGACACAACCACAGCTACATTCACTAGCCTCACACAGCAACACACAGACACAACCACAGCTACGTATCACCAGACCTCACACAGCAACACACAGACACAACCACAGCTACGTATCACTAGACCTCACACAGCAACACACAGACACAACCACAGCTACGTATCACCAGACCTCACACAGGAACACACAGCCACAACCACAGCTACGTATCACCAGACCTCACACAGCAAACACACAGACACAAACCACGAGCTACATATCACCCAGACCTCACACAGTCAACACCACGACCAACCACAGCTACGTAACACTAGACCTCACACAGCAACACACAGACCAACCACAGCTACGTATCACCAGACCTCACACAGCACACACAAACACAACCACAGCTACGTATCCTAGACCTCACCAGCAACACACAGACCACGTATCACTAGACCTCACACAGCAACACACAGACACAACCACAGCTACGTATCACTAGACCTCACACAGCAACACACAGACACAACCACAGCTATGTATCACTAGACCTCACACAGCAACACACAGACACGTATCACTAGACCTCACACAGCAACACACAGACACAACCACAGCTACGTATCACTAGACCTCACACAGGAACACACAGCCACAACCACAGCTACGTATCACATGGGACAGCTTACAATAAACAGTGAACACCTATGATAATCAATGCCAATGTTTTACTATATTGTAGGAAACTATGTCATTCAGAAAACAGATTAGAATAATGACCAATAAACATAAACATATAAAATGCAATAGTGTACTGACGGAACAGTCCGTAAATAAAGAGTGTGACTGACCTGGTCACAGACAGGGCTGTTGTCGTTGGTGTCAGTCACAGACACCTCCACGGTTGCCCTGGTGACGAACAGGCCGTCGCTAGCGGTAATGTTGAGGATGTATAGTTCCTGTTCCTCACGGTCCAGTGGGCGCTTCACGTACATCTTCCACTCACCCTGCACCTGCCCCAGGGCAAACACCCCTCGAGGGTTCCCACCTGAGGAGAGAGAGGGAGGGAGGGAGAGAGTTTATATACACACACAAACAAGAGAAACACAAACACACTCACAGTCTCACTGTCTAACAAACAAACACACACACTTCAAATAGCAAGAACCCTCTCAAACTACTGAGGAGAAGGCTGCAGTCTGAGGGCCAGCCTTAAACATACACACACGGGCACACGCATGCACACACACACACACACACACACGCTCCAGATTTATTGGCCAGTGCCTTAGTGACCTCTATAAGTCCTCTCAGTGCTCTATCTGACACTGAGAGCTGATTAGAATAAATTAATACAATCTGCCACAAAACTTTTTGTTTGGACGTTGTACTGAAATTAACAGTGGAGCAATCAGTGACGGTCAAGCACATAACGACTGTGGTAATTCACCACATGTAACAGGAACAGGCTCAGCTCAGCAGTACAGGTAGTGACGTCTCCCTACCAAATCCACATTAGACTGGGTCAGCGACAGCCTCTCATACACCTTAGTAACTCTACACTCACACCTGCCCCTCAGAGAGGGAGAGGAAGGATGGAGAGAGAGATGGGGAAAGATAGAGCGAAAGAAAGCGAGGAAACGGAAGAGGACGAGAGAGAAAACATATATGTAACAAAAGGGAGAGAGAGAAGAGAGGGAGAAGAGAGAAAGGGAGATGAGGAGATGGAGCGAGAGAGACAGACAGACAGACAGACATACAACCTACAGCTGAAACACTGTGGTAGAACTGTACTGAGTTATTATGTGGAGATATTTTGAGTTTGTCTAACATTGACTGTTCCCTGCCTGGACTAGACACAACGCTCTTTGCAGCAGAGTGGGCCTTTTCTTGGAGAGCAGCTTCTCCTAGACTAGAGAGTGAGTGGGAGGCTGCAGTCTCAGTGTGAGGACCAGCCATGCAGACTCAGTAATATACTACAGATGTAGGATCTTAATTTGAGCCACTTCGCTACAGCAGGAAAATAATCCTGCAGCAACAGGAAATGTGAATTATTATGTGGATTATAATTACTGGCATTTTATTATAAGGGTTGCAAAATTTTTCATGGAAATTATAAACTTTAGAAGACTTTTTAAACCTTGAATACACTACAACTTTTCTCAGCAACAAAAGAGTGATCAAATTAAGATCCTACATCTGTAGCTGTTCCAGTCAGTCTCTGTATCACAGCCTCTACTCTGGGAGTCATCTCATCACCACTTCAATACGAACACTTCATCAGCCTGCTTCTGTCCTCACCACTTTACCAAGAGAATTACATGTGCAACATGAAGGGAAAAAAAACTATAGACCACCTTTACTCCACACACAGAGATGCATACAAAGCTCTCCCTCGCCCCCAATTTGGCAAATCTGACCATAATTATATCCTCCTGATTCCTGCTTACTGCTTATTCCTTGGTGCCCACATCACCAACAAACTATCATGGTCCAGTATGATTTTTAAAAAATAATGTTTTTATGTATGCACTCACTAAACTGTAAGTCGCTCTGGATAAGAGCGTCTGCTAAATGACTAAAATGTAAAATGTCCAAAAACACCAAGACAGTCGTGAAGAGGGCACGACAATGCCTATTCCCCCTCAGGAGACGGAAAAGATTTGGCATGGGTCCTCAGATTCTCAAAAGGTTATACAGCTGCACCATCGAGAGCATCCTGACTGGTTGCATCACCACCTGGTACGGCAACTGCTCGGCCTCCGACCGCAAGGCGCTGCTCGGCCTCCCCCCCTCACTGTTTATTATCTATTATCTATGCATAGTGACTTTACCCCTACCTATATGTACAGTGAGGGAAAAAAGTATTTGATCCAATGCTGATTTTGTATGTTTGCCGACTGACAAAGAAATGATCAGTCTATAATTTTAATGGTAGGTTTATTTGAACAGTGAGAGACAGAATAACAACACAAAAATCCAGAAAAAGCATGTCAAAAATGTTATAAATTGATTTGCATTTTAATGAGGGAAATAAGTATTTGACCCCCTCTCAATCAGAAAGATTTCTGGCTCCCAGGTGTCTTTTATACAGGTAACGAGCTGAGATTAGGAGCACACTCTTAAAGGGAGTGCTCCTAATCTCAGTTTGTTACCTGTATAAAAGACACCTGTCCACAGAAGCAACCAATCAATCAGATTCCAAACTCTCCACCATGGCCAAGACCAAAGAGCTCTCCAAGGATGTCAGGGACAAGATTGTAGACCTACACTAGGCTGGAATGGACTACAAGACCATCGCCAAGCAGCTTGGTGAGAAGTTGACAACAGTTGGTGCGATTATTCGCAAATGGAAGAAACACAAAAGGACTGTCAATCTCCCTTGGCCTGGGGCTCCATGCAAGATCTTACCTCGTGGAGTTGCAATGATCATGAGAACGGTGAGGAATCAGCCCAGACCTACACGGGAGGATCTTGTCAATGATCTCAAGGCAGCTGGGACCATAGTCACCAAGAAAACAATTGGTAACACACTACGCCATGAAGGACTGAAATCCTGCAGCGCCCGCAAGGTCCCCCTGCTCAAGAAAGCACATATACATGCCCGTCTGAAGTTTGCCAATGAACATCTGAATGATTCAGAGAACTGGGTGAAAGTGTTGTGGTCAGATGAGACCAAAATGGAGCTCTTTGGCATCAACTCAACTCGCCGTGTTTGGAGGAGGAGGAATGCTGCCTATGACCCCAAGAACACCATCCCCACCGTCAAACATGGAGGTGGAAATAGTATGTTTTGGGGGTGTTTTTCTGCTAAGGGGACAGGACAACTTCACCGCATCAAAGGGACGATGGACGGGGCCATGTACCGTCAAATCTTGGGTGAGAACCTCCTTCCCTCAGCCAGGGCATTGACAATGGGTCGTGGATGGGTATTCCAGCATGACAATGACCCAAAACACACGGCCAAGGCAACAAAGGAGTGGCTCAAGAAGAAGCACATTAAGGTCCTGGAGTGGCCTAGCCAGTCTCCAGACCTTAATCCCATAGAAAATCTGTTTTGCCACCAAGTACTAAGTCATGTTTTGCAGAGGGGTCAAATACTTATTTCCCTCATTAAAATGCAAATCAATTTATAACATTTTTAACATGCGTTTTTCTGGATTTTGTTGTTGTTATTCTGTCTCTCACTGTTCAAATAAACCTACCATTTAAAATTATAGACTGATCATTTCTTTATCAGTGGGCAAACGTACAAAATCAGCAGGGGATCAAATTCTTTTTTTCCCTCACTGTATATATTACCTCAATTAACTCGACTAACCTGTACCCCTGCACATTGACTCGGTACCGGTACCCCCTGTATATAGCCTCGTTATTGTTATTTTATTGTTGCTCTTTTATTTTTCACTTTACTTTAATTAGTAAATATTTTTTCTTAACTGTTATTTATCTTAAAACTGCATTGTTGGTTAAGGCTTGTAAGTAAGCATTTCACGGTAAAGTCTACACCTGTTGTATTCGGCGCATGTGACAAATGCATTTTGATTTGATTTGATCAGCCTCCTTCTGTCCTCACCACTTCATCAGCCTCCTTCTGTCCTCACCCCATTCATTAATGACTGACTGACAGAGGGACTGGAAAGGGTATGCTTATATAGGCTAGACATATGCAGGTAGGCAGGCAGGCAGGCAGGCAGGCAGGCAGATATGCATGCAGGCAGACACGCAGACAGGCAGGCAGGCAGGCAGGCAGGCAGGCAGGCAGGCATGCAGGTAGACAGTCAGGCAGATAGGCATGCAGGCAGGCAGACAGGCAGGCAGAAAGGCAGACAGGCAGACAGGCATGCAGACAGACAAAGGCAGACAGACAGACAGGCAGGCAGGCAGACACACACGTTGAGAGAAAGTAGGAAATTAGAAAAAGGAGGGGGAAACAAAATAATGACAGAAGTGAAGTGCTAGAAGTCCTCTGTCTGAAGTGCTTTCCAGCAGACACTTTTATCCAGAGTAACATATAATAAGTGCATTCGATTAAGAAAGTGTCCACTGAGTGTAGACTAGGGACCTGACGTCTGAGCCACCCCAACTCACTGGCCAATACCCCCTGACAACATACCACAACACAGCCCAAAGACCTCCGTCAGAGACAGACATTCTCTCTGTCTGAAACATAAAACAAAGGGAGCAGCAGGACAAACATTGTCTCCTATTATAATAACATCCTAATAGTTATTTCCTCTCCACTCCCCTCCTATTATAACAACATCCTAATAGTTATTTCCTCTCCACTCCCCTCCTATTATAACAACATCCTAATAGTTATTTCCTCTCCACTCCCCTCCTATTATAACAACATCCTAATAGTTATTTCCTCTCCACTCCCCTCCTATTATAACAACATCCTAATAGTTATTTCCTCTCCACTCCCCTCCTATTATAACAACATCCTAATAGTTATTTCCTCTCCACTCCCCTCCTATTATAACAACATCCTAATAGTTATTTCCTCCTCTCCACTCCCCTCCTATTATAACACATCCTAATAGTTATTTCTTCTCCACTCCCCTCCTATTATAAACAACATCCTAATAGTTATTTTCCTCTCCACTCCCCTCCTATTATAGCAACATCCTAATAGTTATTTCCTCTCCACTCCCCTCCTATTATAATAACATCCTAATAGTTATTTCCTCTCCACTCCCCTCCTATTATAATAACATCCTAATAGTTATTTCCTCTCCCACTCCCCTCCTATTATAACAACATCCTAATACATTTTCCTCTCCACTTCCCCTCCTATTATAACAACATCCTAATAGTTTATTTCCCTCTCCACTCCCCTCCTATTATAATAACATCCTAATAGTTATTTCCTCTCCACTCCTCTCCTATTATAACAACATCCTAATACATTTTTCCCCTCCCTTTCCCCTCTCCCCTCCTATTTAACAACATCCTAATAGTTATTCCCCCTCCACTCCCCTCCTATTATACAACATCCCAATAGTTTTTTCCTCTCCCCCTCCCCTCCTATTATAACATCCTAATAGTATTTCCTTCCTCCACTCCCCTCCTATTTTAATAACCCAATTTATTCCCCTCACTCAGCTCTATATAACACACCAATATTATTTCCTCTCCACTCCCTCCTATTATAACAACAAAAAGTTTTTCCCCCTCCACTCCCCTCCCATTTAAAAATCCTAAAAGATTTCCCCTCCACCCCCTCCTATTTTAAAAAAAACCCTCCCAAAGTTTTTTTTTCCCCTCCCCCCCTTATTATAAAACATCCTAATAGTTTTTTCCTCCCTCCCCTCCTATTATAAAAATCAATGTTATTTTCTCACTCCCCCCTTTTTCTGGTTTTTTCCCCCCACTCCCCCCTATTAAAAAACACCCCAATAGTTTTTCCTTCCCCTCCCCTTTTAAAAAATCCAATAGTTATTTCCCTTTTCCCTCCCCCCCCTTTATAAAAAAACATCCTAAAATTATTTCCCTCCCCCCCCCCCTCCTATTTTAACAAAACCTAATGTTTTTCCCCTTTACCCCCTCCATTTTAAAAAAATCCTAATGTTATTTTCCTCTCCCTCCCCTCCTTTATAACA